GCTTCTTCCCCTAAGGATTCAGCAGCTTCTCTCACTTGCTCACTCTCCCTCCAGGGACAGGGCTAGGTAGCAGAGCCATTCACAGCAACTCCCATGCAGGACCAAGCGTGCCCCAGCCCTTCTCCCCCAGCCTTGCTGAGCCTGTASAGGCATTGCAGCTGCTCCCCCCACAGCCCAGGATGGCCTGCAGGTCACCCTGGTGCTCAGAGGAAGAGCCTGCCACCTGCCGAGCAGCTCAGTGCCCCGTGGGCTCTTCCCTTTGACATTTGAGTTGTTTCTCCACCTTGCATCAGACACAGAAATTTAGAATGCGCCGGCTGGAGCTGCAGGGGGATGTAGGAAAGACCCAGCCACGTTCCCCTGGGTGTATGGAGTCCAGAAGCGGTGCGAGGGCTGAGAGTGTGGGGCTGAGCAGAGCACWGGGCCCCCGAGGAGCTCTCCAGGGCACCTTTGTGTTCCTGGGCATCTACCGACCACCTCATCTGTGCAAGGGCAGCYGCCGGGGCAGGGCCAGTCAGGCTGAAAATCTGCCAGGCAGCCCAGCGAGGAGGCACTGAGGGCAGAGGGCTCACTGTAGTGCATACGAGGAGGACAGGGCCACGGGCCACCAGCTGTGCCCTGCCCTCCGGTGAGAGGGCGTGCAGGCCCGGAGATGCACATGCAAGCTGGCCCCTTTCTCCTGTCCGGAGCCCAGGGTGAGTTGCTGCGGCCAGGACCTGTCACCCCCACAAAGGCACATTGCTGAGGCCAGCGGCACAGCCACAACCCACTCTGCTCCACGCTGCACCTGCACGAMGGCTCCGGGTCTAAGCTGAGCCCCACGCCGAGTAAATACTCACGGGAAAGGTGACTCGGAGCACCCAGAGGGAGCCAGGGCCTCCAGCTGGGAACGGYCTGCAGTATTTATTTACAGTGCAGAGCAATCCTCCCCTCAAGAGACAAGTTTCTTTGGCTGGCGTGAGACAAGCACAGCTATTGCAGCATCCAAACGCCCCAAGCCCTGCACGGCCCCAGCACGGCTCCACCCCGGGTGGGTCCTGCAGCCCCACGCGCATGCCTGTGTGTGTGAGGGTGGGTGAGTGCGTGTGTGTGTGTGCATGTGTGGATGAAGGAAACGTGAAAAGGCAACAATAAATAACTGGTGCAGTCTGTACGAGAAGGAATTGCTGCCAGCCCYGACACTGGCGTGACAAGCCAGAAACAGAAGGCCGGCAGCAGAGGCCTCTCAGTCACTCTTGGCGCTGTGTGAGGTGTCCAAGTTGACCACCTGCAGCTCCGTCAGGCTGCTGCCACTGCTGCTCTGCTGCCCGATGACAGCCATCTAGAGAGAGAAGGGAGGAGGAACCACTGGGGGACAGCACATCCTCAGACCAYGTGTGCCAGCAGCCAGGGGGGCACTGTCCCTCCTGGACACCTGTCCAAGGAGGACARGACTCCCTCACCCTCAGCTTTCCCAGACCTGAGGACTGACCCTACCCAGCCAGGTCTGCCCAGACACACAAAGGATGTACGGACAGGAGAAGAGCAAGAATAAACCCGCAAGTTCTACTCTGTGCCTACCTGGTGAAGCTGGACAGCTGAGACTGGGATCTGAACAGTGCCTGATGGGGCTGTCAGGAACACCTGGGGGACGCCACCTGCCACAGAGAGAAGCACAAATGACACCTTCCCTTAAACAGTGTTCCCCCATGGATCCCTTCCTTGAGCTCTGTGAAGCTTCACAGGACAATGCTGCCTATTTACACACACTGAGGCATTCCAGAAGAAAGCCACATGCACTGTGTTCCAAATGCTGGGAGAAACGGGCACAAGTCCTTAATCCAAGACTTGCCCAAATTGTTTCATGCTGCTTTTCCCCCTCATGCAAGAATACATCCTCTCCAGAGCCTCCTGGCTCCCTCTGCTGCCTGCCCCACATGCCACCCATCCCAGAAACCCTCACCCTTTTTACCCAGCAACACCTCATGCAATCCTTTGCACAAGAGAATGACAAGAGCTAACAGCACAAATCGAGCATCGCCTTTGCCAGGCCTTTGTGCAGCCACTAGGACGCTGCAGAGAAAACCCTCTGAGATTAACACACAGCACAAATACGTGTGGAATGACAAAAACCAGGGTGTCAGTGCGCTCTCAGGGAGCACTGAGCGGGACAGCTGCCTTACCCTGATCCTGGACCTGGCCGTGGGACACCTGCATCGCTGAGGGCGCCTGTGGGAAAGCGTTGAGCACCGCGAGCCCGCCGTCGGCCAGGCCGGAGGTGGGCGCGTACATCACCGCGTGCGGGCTGGGGTACATCATGTGGCCGCCCACGGTGGTTGGCACAGACGACGTCATGATGGTCGCTGGGAGGGTCACTGCCACCGGGACAGACTACAYGTGAGCACACTGAAAGGAACCTGCCACGCTCACCTGCCTGCTCAGCACCCCGACCCCAGCCACCCTGGGCATGCTATGCTGAAGCACAGTGCATGGAAATACCCGTATTGTCTCCCAAGGTCTTAGGCAAAAGCCCCAGAGATCGAGCGGGAGAGCTCAAACTGCTCCTTTCATGAGATGAAGGGGCAGGAAAGCACAGGAGCAAAACAGCTCAGGACTAAATTCAGCTTGTATCTCAATTCCCTGATGAAGCCTTAATGGAGCTGCTGAACTAGATTCAGCCTGCATCCAGGCACCTGAACTCAAGATTTTGCTGACAAAGAGACTGCATAGACAGTAGAAGTCTCAAGCAGATGTGAGCCAATGCCTTGTGCTAGAGGCAATGCTRGCTCACTAAGAAACCCCCTGACAACTGAGCAACCTGCTCCCAGCCCGGCCCTGCAACTAAGAGCAGATAATGTATCTGGACAGCTTCCGAAATCCCTTATAAGGTGCACTATGCCCAGCAGCATCTACTTAGATACAGTGTAGCACAGCACCTGGCAACATGGATCAATAAACCAAGGAAACTGTCAGGCTGCTGAACAGTTGGATACAGTTGGCTGACGAAGGAAACCGGGYAGGGAGAAGGAACGAGGCCCGTCGGTTATCAGCAGTGGTCAGGAAGGCAGACAGAAGGTGGTTACCAATACCTGTTCCGCTGGAAGAGGTCTGGGTAAGGTCAGTGCTGCTGTCACTAGAGGGAGACGTTTGCTGCGGTGCCTGGTGCACCTGGATTGCCTGGACTGGAACCTGCTGAGCCATGGTACCACCTGAGGAGAGAGAGGAGCCCATGAGCCCGTGGCTCCCGGGGGATACAGGCACTCTGGGCCGTGTGACAGACCCACAGCCCTTCTGTGGCTGCAAGCAGCTCCACAGCATCACTCCGTGCTGCGCAAGGGAAAGCCACACAAAAGCAGTATGCAGCAGAAACCAGAGACCAAAACCTGCTCCTTCCTGGCACATGGGCCTACAAAGCTCCAGAGAGTGAAGAAAAGGCCGCAACAGCTTTTGTCCAACTCACAGCCATGGTTCAGGAACATCTGGGACCCTCCTTTCCATTCCTGGCTCCACCAAGACACAGAAGAGATGTTGGAAGGAGAGGGCACAGCCTTTTCTCCCCAGCACTTAGCCAGCTCTGCAAGGATCACCTTGCTGCACCAACTGTAACCCCAAGAGCCCAAATGCCCACACCAGCTGGGCTCTGCTGCCTTCACACTCTGGAGGCCAGCTCCATCCTCCACAGGGCACTCAGTGCAGCGCTCACCGTGCTCGTGACCTCAAGGACAGCACAGTGCCCTACACAGGGATTAGAGAACACCTGGTCTYAAGGTGTGCATCCCAGAGCTGCAGGGGCCACACAGCCTTTGTCCCAGACCATTCCTTCAAAGCCCCTCAGCTCCAGAAACAGCTCGGCACAGAAAGCTCCCCTAAGGCTGAGGCTCTGTCTTCAGAGAGAAGAGCAAGGGATGCCAGAGAGCAAGAATCACTGGCCACCTTGCTCAGACTGGCATCTCCCCACACATCACACCCTAGAGACACATCAGTTACTATCCTAGCTCCTCCAGGAGCCTTCTGTCTGCCAGGACCCGCGGGAGTTTAAAGCATTTCAAGAAAGTGCAGAGTTTATCAGAATCGTCGACTTGGGCACAAACTCGAGGAATACTGTGTCACTCAATGCTGGTCCTCAAACAATGGATGCCACCGCAAGGGAGAGCCTTGCCCTGCTCAGAGACTCCATCCAGGAACATGTCCAGTCCCAGAACAAACACCTGGAGAGCCTTACTCAGCACAACAAGAAATTCCTACAAAGGACAATGCACAGCAGCACCATTCCTCTGCTCTGGGTCTCCCTATACCTATCCTCTGCACCGTGGCTCAATGGCTGATTGCAGATACAAACACAGAAGCAAGGGCAGCTGCTCAGAGCCAGCACTCCATAAACAACCACTGGGCACCTGAGGCCCTGTGGTATCCCTCCATCAGTTCTAGCAGCACAGTKCAGCCTCAGCACAGCTGCACTAGGGACCTGACTCCTCTGAAACTGTTACCTCAGGACCAAGCCCTGGGGCATGAGACTGAAAATCCACTGGTTTCCTCTGCCTGCACTCCCCAGGATGCTGCTCCTGCCTATGTCAAGCATTCTCTGCCCTGTCTTCCYATCTCTCCCCAGCAGCCACAGCCAGGGCTCCCTGTGCTCTGCCTCCTCTGTGCTCCCATCTCAGTCTGGGGTCAGCTCTGTGGCCAGGCCCAGGACCCCCACAGACATCTCYATCCCCCCATGTCCAGGAAGCGAGTGCTGACCTGCCAGCGACACGATCTGCCCTCCAGCTCTGGCAGGGAAGTGGAAGACTGTCTGCTGTGCCTGCTGTAGCTGTCCAGCTGTACCAGTGACCACCTGGCCCTGCTGGCTGGAAAGAGCCAGGGAGTGCGGCTGTAACTGAGTGAGAGGAATGGTAGGGGTCCCCGGAGAAAGGGAAGCACCTGCCAAAAGGAGGGAGAAAGAAAGGCTTTGTCACTACCAGCTCTTTTCACTCCCTCCAGGCTTCTTGGTGCTGCCCTGGGGACCCAGCTCAGCTCCCTGCCAACTCCCAGCAGCAGGGCCAGCTAGTGGCACTCTAAAGGAGCAGTCACTACACAACCCTTCTCCAGCCACTGACTGGGTTTGAGCACAGAACCTCACAGCAACAACCACTCTGCTTCCCTTCTGCCACTAGGCATTCTCTCCTCTGGAGAGAACAGCAACACACTCCAAGTGCAGAGATGGACGGATGCAGACCTCAGTCCCTAAAAGCACTGACCTGACATGAGGGTGAAGCCAGTGGGTATCGGCATGAGGCCCCCAGACGTCACTGCGCTGGCTCCAGTAGTCTTCAGCACGGTCCCGTTGGCACTGGTGACGGCATTGGGGCTGATGCTGGCAGACACTGGCGCCAGGTAATTAGTGATGGGGAATGACGGGCCACTGCTGACCTGCATGGAGGTCGAGGTGGTAGGGGCTGTCTGGATGGACGTTGTTCCCGGCAGGTTGGTGACAGTGAACGCGGGTTTCAGGGCATCCTGCAAAAGGAGAGATCGTGACGGCTCGGACCAGCCCGTGAGACATCCRCCCATGAGACCAAACCAGCCTCTGTGGCTTGCACCCCCTTGCCAAACCATGTCCCCCACAGCCKGCTGTGCACATGGAGCAGAGCCAGGGGAGCAGAGCAGAGCTGCTTGTGCAAACATGAGGAGAGCTGGAGAGAGTTCAGCGTCAACTCTGGATRCAAGCCCAGGGCCACACGGGTCCCCTGAGAGCCTCTCCTGCAACACACCAGGGGACAAAGCAACCCTTCCCCTCCCCAGGAGTCCCCAAAATGCCTAAGAGGAGAACAGTCTCTTTTTGGCACACTGCAGACAAAAGCAGCCCTTGCAGGGACAAACATAAAGGCACAGAGTCTCCTGTCAGGAACACACACCACTTCCCTTGAGGCAGGAAACACACGATCAAGAAAAAGCTGAGAACGGGCTCTTAAAGGCAGCTGCACACTGGAAGTGACAGGGAAGAGGTGAATAAAGACAAACCTGGACACCAGGGAGGCCCAAACCCAGCCCTGGGGAATGCCTCCACACATGTCCTGCAGCAGAGGCCAGGAGAACCTGACTGTAGGAAGCACCCATTTGCCAATGCACTGGAGGAGATGGGCATGAGGCAAATGCTTCCAAAGGACCCCACGTGCTCACTATGGCCAGCATGGTCCTGCAAGGAGTGCCCAAGATTTGTGCTTGTCCAAGGACAGCATCACCAGAGGAGCTGGGCACTAGGAAAAGGGCTCTGTGCTGGAGAGAGAGACTGGCATCCCAGGTCTGGGAACAAGGGAGGAATGTGTGTGCCAGGCTGCAGTGACACACTGGTTTCCACAGCCACAAAGCACAGTGGCTGGATGTGCCTTGGATCTGCACGAGCCAACCAAGCCCAGCATGATCCCTGCTGCCTCTGGCAGTCACACTTCACCTAAAGTGCCTCCACCCCCCARATCCCCTCTGGAATACCCAGGGTGMCYAAGACTCCTCTCCTGCCCCGCTCATCTGGCCAAGAGCACAGTGAGAATGCACAGCTTCACAGGAGCCCATGTCACAGTGCACAACTGACCTGCTGTCCCCATGCCCTGACACAGCTGCCAGCATGCCTGGGAAGAGTTAAGGCTGCCACACTCCCACCCCTCCCACTGCAGCTGGTGGGCCCAGCTCTCCCACGTGCTAAGCCTTGTTCCCAGCTTGTCAAGCTGCCAGGAGCAAGGAATTCACAGCTCAACGAACAGCTAAAAAAGGGAAGGCAGCCCATTTTGGACAGGGGGATCCAATCCCAGGCACTCAGTCGTGCCCCAGGGCCCAGGGAGGGAGGAGAGCAACACCCCTCTGCCTTGGCACYGAAGTCCCTGAAGTCCAAATTAGAAAAGGCACGTGATAACAGAGCAAAGCCCAGCAGAGGCACTTTCCATTAGCTCAACCACAAACTCCTGCCATCCCACATGGGACATGGGAGGCTGTGGGTGCCCTCCCCACGTGGGTGACAGGACAGAGCTCTCCCCAGCCCACTTGGGTTGSGCAGGTGCTGGTCAGGGCTCCTCATTCCCAGCTGTAGCCCTAAAAGCAGCATACCAGAGATACAGCCCTCAATCAGCCAGGACATTTAGCACCCAGTCATACTCCCAGGCCTGGAGGAGGCATCCCAGAAAGTTCACAGCACTCCATTCAGAGAGATTCCCAGGGCTCCCTGGAAGCACAACAGCAAATCTCAGTACCAAACAAAGGTGCTTGGGAGAGATGCCATGGCAAGAGACTTGTGCCGTGCACATCCCATCTCTGCCCTCCCTATTCTRACACAGCTGAGACTCAAATTCCTCCCATCTTTGTGTTTCTCTTGGGCTGCAGCAACAGCTCCCAATACAGAAAGAGAGCTGGGAGARACTTTGGGACTGGACACCCATTACTATCTCCCCATGACTGTCTGGGATGCCTCAGTGTCCCCCTGGGCACCTTAGCTCGTCCCAAAATCCTGCAAAACCCATGACTACGTGCATGAGGCACATCAGGTGTCACTTCAGCAGACATCACCCAAGGAGACATGGAGAAACACTGAGGCAGACAGCAGCCCTGAAAACCCTTCCCTTCCTGATGCAGCTGCAAATCCATTCCCCACCACAGCTCAGTGCAAACCTCAGCGTGCAGAGCAGCACCTGCAGAAGCAGCACACAGCAGAGAGGTGTCTGCCCAGACCCACAGAGCTGCTCTGCAGCATGAGTGGGTCACAGGGTGCAGACCAAGCTGGCTGATGCCCATCCTGGACCACAGCAGGATCCTGGGGACAGAAATGATCCCAACTCCACAGCTTTTTGCGACTGCCTGAGGTAGTGCTGTTCTACATTGCCCAGACCTCCAAGACAGAATTATTACATGGATGCTGCAGGACAACAGGTCTTGGAGGTATAAGGGAAATCCCAATCTGGTCTACAACGCCTGGTCTACATTCCATATGTGGCAGAAARTCCCACATTCTCCCATTCCAGAAAGAGACGACCAGATCAGGGCTACTCCTGTGCTCTCACTCCAATCCAGAGCCCCTGAGCTCCCTCCAAAATAYCCTTTCCCACACAAGCACACCCAAGAGGCTACAGTCTCCTTTGGGTCCTGCAAAAGGTGAGAGAGGCATCATCATGAGGACACAGCTGTCTCAAAGGTACAGCATGCCCCAATCCCAGCTGTGGTCCAAACTCAGCACCTCAGCAGGGAGATAGGTTCTGGCACAGCAGGAGGATTTCAGAGCTGCTGCTGGTGTAGCACAGAGGAATAACCAGCAGGCTGCTGACTGCAGGTAACAGCCTGGCTGCATTGTCTTTCCCTCTCTGCTGCAGCAGCTCAACACAAGCAGGTTTTGTCCATACAGAGATCTGGGAAGCAGAGTTCACACAGGAAGGCCATGGAGTGTCTTGGAGCATCCCATGTGGCTGGGCCTGACATTCCAGGCACTGAATCTCCTGCCACCTCCTCCAGTGAGGCACCTGTAACCCAGCCTTGTGTACCACCCCCACCTCAGCAAGCACCAGCCATGCAGCATGGCCCATCCACAGGCTCCTTTCATCCTCACAGGCCTATCTGAATTGAGCTGATCTCTCTCAGAGCACTGATCAGGCTTCCAGGCCTGCAGAAGACACAGCAGGATGGTGCCTGTCCCCAGCCCCAGGAACATGGGGAACATGTCCTTGCAATGGCAGGAACTGTCAGCCAGCCAGGGGTGAGTTTAGTTAGAATGTCACACAGAAGACGAAGCTCCAGGGCTCTCCAGCCTCACATCAAATGCTGCCTGTGGCCACAGAGCACCCTGCACTCAGCAGCAGCACTGGGATGGAGCTTTCAGGGTTGCATCAGACAGCGAGGAAAGAGAAGTTGTGTTAAGAAGGTCTCTGCAGAGTAACTGCAGCCCAAGGGTGCAGTTCCCTTGGGGCTAACTAGCAATATTTCCAGGAAGGATCCAAAGGGATGTGATGTGGCCTAGGCTCATGCCAGGGACAGGTAATTTGTCTCATTACACAATGCCCACAGGACTTGCCTTTTCATCCAGCAGAAGSCCAGGAGGCACAAGTCCTCACAAACACAGGCTGCACAAGGGAGAGATTGCTGGTGTTAGAAGGCTGCTTTGCCTACTGGAGAGGGCTGGCACGGCTCACACAGCAATCTGAGGTACCCAGGGAAGATGTGCCAGACCRGGACTGCCAGGACTGGTGCTGGGGTCCCATCAGCAGGAACCATTCCCAGGGGCTCTCCTGGGCTCTGGCCACACTTTGGCCCACCACAGCTCCTCTGCCTGCAGGGATCTCTGGGGCTGCTRATGTGTCTCAGCAGCAATAAGCTTTTGCTTGGTGCAGCTCTGCACAAATGGGGCAAAGTGGACACTGAGGAACAGAAGCTGCCAGGTACCCAGCAGCACCATGACCAGAGTTGTTGCGCTRTCACAGCATAAAAAGAGGCAGCTGAATACCCCTGCAGCCCCAGACATGCTGGGCACAGCTCAGGGCTGCACTCACTGCAATCACAGCACAGAGACCTCAAGGTTCTGTCTGCTCACTGTCTAGGGTGTTGTGGCTTGAGCACAGACGGTTGCAGAGCTCCTGTGCTCACAGTTCACCTGGGAGGACTCCTCTGCACCAAGTTGACACTCATGACATAAGCACAGGTACAGCCAGGCTGCTCTGATTTCCAGCACCCAACCAAACTGCACCCAGTTCAGCACGGGAAGCTGTGGCATCATCCCGGCCCTGCACCACAAACTTCCCTGCCTCCCATTTCCAAGCACCTGCAGACCTGAGTACCAGCCTGCAAAGGAAGGGATATGGGACACAGCTTTGAGGAACAGCGCCAGGGGGTGCAGGGACRAGACGGGGCCCTTTTAGCAGAAAAGCTGCCTCTGCCCGACTCTGCACCCACAGGCAGAGCTGGCACCCTGGGCCAAAGGCCACAAGTAACGCAGGCAGGCAAGGGCCAGTGTCTGTAGGGACAGCAGGCAGGGAGCAGAAATGGTCTGTCCAGCCAAATGTTTCCATTCCCCATGTCCTCCCTGCCCCCTTCCAAAACAGCACCAAAGCAAGAGACAGCTGCAGCTTATAAGGAATGTGAGGGGCCCTGCCAGGGACTCTGGCGAGGGAAACCAGGCCTTATAAGGCCATGGAGGCAGAATCAAATTTTTATCAATGAGTGCGAGAGCATGGAGACGCCTGGGGAGAGATAACAGTGCTGAAAGCTGGCCAGGGGGGTGGGCTGGGCAAGGGGGGAGCCACACTGCAAGGACCAGGATACCTGCCACCCACTCCCCTCTCTTTCAATCACCACTCCTATCAGCCAAGGAGCCAGCCAGCCCCGAGACAGCATGGCACAAGCTCRCTGCAGTCACAGCAAAAGGAGACTCATCCTCAGCTCCCCACGCTGCTATTTAAAGAGGGCAGGGGATGATCAGGGTTCCCAGCACAGCACAGCCCACGCCTCCCWGGGTGCCCAGGAACATTACCTTGGTCTCCCCACTGCTGTCCGACTCAGACACCTGGTAGGTGAGGTCCGTCTCCTCGAAACCAGTGGCACTCATGCGCTGGTCAGTGGTGGGGTCCGAGCGTGGGGGCGARTCCGGGGAATTGAGGCAAGTTTGGATCAACGCCTTCCCTGTCTCGCTGGTGATCATGGGCTGCAGCTTCCGGGTGGCAAACGTGTACACATGGCCCGTCTCGCTGGCCACCAACAGCAAAACTTGGGTGCCAGTCAGCGTGGAGAGCTCGTAGGCCTGCCAGCAGCACAAGGGAAKAACAGGGAGTCACAAATGACAGGGACAATGCAGAGTGCAGGACAAGAGCCCCTGCATGTCCCCAAGTTCCCAGAACGGTTTTCCTCTCTTCACACCAGCTTCAGCTCCCTGACAACCCAGAGGAGCTGTAGCTCTAAAACCAAGCCAAGATTGGCTCCCTACAGGTTGAACTGCCCCATGCTGTATCCCCACCTCCTTCAGCAGACCCTTAGGGAATGTGCCTGACAAGAGGCCATGGGTAGAGTGGTCCCCTCAGAGGTGCAGCCTGAGAACACGGGGACACAGGGTTATCTCCATTCTGGAAATCCCGCTGGCTTCTCCAGACATGTCTGGATGCCTCCCTCACCTCACCTCTTGGTGATGTTTCTTGGCACACATCTCTGCTACCTCATTCCCCTCACCAACACCCCATCCAGGCTCCGACCCAGATTTCCCTCTCAGGCTCCACAGTGCTGAGCACAGCTGCACCCGAGCACCCYTGCAGCGAGGCCACCATTCCCCAGGTGAATACCTGTGGACTAGAAAGTGCACTCTTCATATGCCATCAGTGCACACTCTGTGGTCTCACAAATGCTTCTACAGACAGGATGGCCTCATTCTACAACCTATGGTCCCGTACATCCAGGATGTGCCAAGCAGTACCTGACACCTATTCCCACCGTCCCAGGGTGTATGATGCCCAGCTCAGCTGGGATGCAGCACCGGCCACTCGTTCAGAAGATGCTATCAGCACCACCTGGGATGCAGATAAGCCAACAGCATCCAAAAGCCCCCAGGTTTCTAATCTGTCTTGGCACACCAGGARCCACGGATTGTGCCCCGGACCGGCCGAGACGTGGCGTTGGTCCCTTCCGTGGCAGAAGCAGCCAGTCTTTCCAGGCCCTYGGCGGGGCAGGGCAGTGCAGCTGTGCCACCAAACACTCGGTGTTCCGGTGGCGGCTCACAGCGAGGGGCCCCGASGGCGCCGGTCAGCTCCGGCCGGGGGCTGGACGCTGCACCGGGACTGGCCTTCCCGRGCACATCACACGTCCGGGGACCGCCGAGCACACCGACATCCCCCGGCCCCGGTGRTCCCGCTCCAGCTGCCCGGCTCCCCACCCGCAGCTCCGCCGGGGGCTCCCGCGCAGCCCCCCGGAAGGGGCTGGTGCCGGGCCACCCCTGCTGGTCCCGCCCGCGGGACCGGGAAGCCGCGGCCGTTTCCGGGCACGGCCCGCCGGCCTGCTCCGCGCTCGGACCGGTCCGGGGCCCCCACGGACAGGTGGGTGCCGGCCGACATCCCCGCCCGGGCCGGGCCGGGCCGCCTCCCCCCGCACCGGCCGGAGTCACGGAGCCGCACCTTCTTCATGATGCCGGTCTTCCTCTTGCTGAAGGTGGTGTAGCGCCGCAGCTTGTTGTCGATGAACTCCATCTTGATCTTCACCCGGCCCCGGGTCTTCTTCCCGGGCTTGGCGCCGCTCACGGCCCCGCCGCCCCCGCCGCCGCTATAGGCGGCC